CTGAATCTTAGGGCAGGTCGAAACAAATGAGGGCCTAAAAATAGCCCAGGGCCTAAGAATAGCCCTCCGTTTCAGGCTGGAAAAACTCTGGGTCTGAAAGACCCAGAAATAGGCTGAAACGGAGTAGGGCCTGCAGACCCTCGTTTTTCAGTTTTCAGGCTGAAACGACCGGGGCCTGTAGATCCTAAGTTTTAGGCTTTTAGGCTGAATGTCCGGGACGGGCCCTACAGGGCCCGTGTGGCTACCCAGTATGCCACACCTAGGGTCCATGAACTACCCACAAAGTTAAGAGCGCTGAAATGACCTGGATGCTGCAAGATGTACGCACAAATATTCGGGTCCATGTCTGGCATGTAATTCTGTGGGGCAGGCTGGAGTTGTAGTCGTCTACCCATAAATGTCATAGACAGGACCTCTATGTGTTTTAGGAATTCAACTTGTGCAGAATTGCATTTAGTCCCCTTGTACCTAAGGAGGGTGCTTGCCTGCCGGTTTTTCCGCTGAAGGCCGACTCCTTGAGGGGGATCCAGTCATCGAGTCCTGTTCCATGTCTGAGCGAGAGCTGTGCTGGACCTATTCATATTATGGAAGCATTCACAATTTCTTAGCTCCGCATTTATGCTACTACCATCTTCACCCGAATAGAACGCCTGGTCATTATAGCTGTATTTACGGCATCATGACCGGGCGCTCTATTCGGGTGACGACGGTAGGCTTACTCACAGAGTATTGTGATAGTACGTGGGTCCTTCCCTGAATGTGTTGCTCTCTGCCCCAGTATAGCTATGCTGAGGCTGAGGCCAAGTAAGAATAGCATGGAATAGCAATGCTGATGCTGCGGTGGCATAGCATGGAATAGCCATATGCTGAGGCTGCAGCAGCATAGCATGGAATAAATGGGGCTGGGGTAGCATAGCATGGTATTGTCACCATTATGGTTTTGTAACCTGACTGTGTGCTGCATATTGTTGTCAAAGGGATGCTTGTGGTGTTCTGCTCCTGAGTCCTCCTCACTGACTAGTGTGGAGAAAAAACATTGTCATTTTTCTCACAGGTGTTGCAAGGGACACGGTTCTTGGCTTCGATGATCCTCTGCCTTACGAGGTTTGTCTACTCGGCTTACCATGCTCAACTTTCCTGAAGACCTCTGCATGCATTGCACTCTGCGTTCTCAGCCTGAGTTTTTGTCATCAAAGTTCTAATGAGCGCTCAGCTCAAGTTCTCAGCCTGAATTCTCAGGCTGAATTCTCATCCTTGGTTGTGAGTGTGCATTTTTGCAGCATGAGTCCTCAGCCTGGGTTGTGAGCAGGAGTTCCCAGTCTTGAATTCTTGGTGAAGACACAAGTCAACCATGCAAAATGTCGTAAGATGACACAAGCAATGGAGAGAGAGAGAGAGAGAGAGAGAGAGAGAGAGAGAGAGAGAGAGAGAGAGAGAGAGAGAGAGAGAGAGAGAGAGAGAGAGAGAGAGAGAGAGAGAGAGAGAGAGAGAGAGAGAGAGTATGGAAGAAGATAGAGAGTCCCTTGAAGTTCCCGAAACGCGACGATAAGACCGAATGATATTACAAAAAGGTGGCCAAGTACATCGTCAGATAATCGTGAATTCTTGGCCTGGGGTTGTGAGTGTGAGTTCAGGGTGAGTTCTCAGGTTGAATTCCCATCCCCAGCCGGAGTTTACAGCTCAAGTTCTCCGCATGAGGTCTCACCCTGAGGTACACTCAGAAAGAAAGGGGAGAGGAAAACTAGGCTCTCTGGGGAAAAGAGAGTGGAGTTACGAGAAAGGCGAGGAAAACTAGGGTGGGGAAAAGGGTGGATGGAGTACAACTTTCTTTTTCCCTTCTTTGTCTGAAGGGGCTAGCGCTGTGAGAATCGTGCAGGATAAAATGATCACAGTCAAATTCACAGTCCTTCAAAGTTGCTGACATTGAAGTTGATTGAACAGGTAAATCATATACGCCGCTTGATGGGAAGCTCCAAAAACTTGTTCTCAACATCGGCCGCCAAAGACTTGACGACACTGGTCGAGAATCGCTCACCTGGGCACCTGACAACGCAGAGCATGATAACAACAAGCAAGGGGCAAAATGACATAGTCCCATGACAGTAACAAGCAGCTATGGCGGCGTCCTCATCCCGCCATCATGGGCCGTCAAGTAAAAATGCTCCCCCCCCCTGCTCGACTTTGAAATACTGAGAATGAATTGACAAACTGGCTTGCAATAGTTTTGCCAACAGCCTACCATCTTCACTCGAATAGAACGCCTGGTCATCATCGCTGCAGCTGGACTGAAAGTTGCTCCAAATACAGCTGTAATGACCGGGCGTTCTATTCGGGCGAAGACGGTAGCTGATGCCTAGAACCTACGCAGCTACCAAACTACCCAACTGAGTTCAAAAAGTAGAAGCTGCACTGCAAGGAAAATGTCTAGAACTGAGTCCTGTGGTCCAGAGATTGAGTAATGGGGCTTAACTATTACCAGAAGAACTACAAATAAAGTTTAATAAACACAAATGTAGTTGGGCTGCACGCAACAGGTAACCCCTCCTAATGTTATTATATTCATCTGCTTATTAGGATGGATCTCTTAATTACTGAAGGGTGGAGATCTTGTGACCCACATGAACTGGGGGTCACTCCTAGGTGGTAGGTAGGACACTACTTTCGGCTGTCGTGTAGGAAATCAGCTTTGGATGTGCAGGCACACATGTCACCACAGTCAAATGTCTGTCTTATTCAACAATTTCAAATGTTAAGGGACGCTGGACCCGCTATCCAGCAGGTGCTGCTCCCCACCAATAGATGGAGCCTCCCTGAGAGTGCTAGTGGTGTCTGCCCCTACCAGCACCCCTAGCATTAACAATCGAGTGCCCGGGAGCATACCATGCTGAGCATACGGCATCCTTAGGACTCCCAATGCTCAACATGGTATGCTACATACGGAAACGAAACAATTGGCCCAAATGGGTTAAAAAATAAGCCTCAATCTGGTCATTCGAAAAAGTATTTCCAATTTAACGAAATGTCAGGTTGCATGCTGAGGTGGCTAGTGGTGAGAGAAGCTCCTGGAGGTGGTAGTGGAACTGAACAGTCGTTTCAGTTCTATTATCGATTGTTAATGAAACCATCCTCCTCCAATTGGCCTAGCTCAGTTGGTAAACCCATGGACTGTTGAAAACAGACTCAATTTCGAATCCAGATACTAGTACCACCTGGATTCTTGACTTATTTGGCATTTTGATTGCTTTCATTTTGAGCGCATTGTTCAGGATCGTCAGGTTCACTACATTTGTTTCGATTGTTTGTGTAAAAACTTCATTTGTTTGTTTTCTTCTTGGGCTTCTGTTGCTGTTGTTCTTGTCGTTCTTAACCTACAACAATTACCTGTTATAAACATCAGAATGCATGAAGGTGGTCTGCCACGAACCTGACACGTCTCTTCACCTGTTGTTTCTGTTCCATTCTGTCTATGTCAATGTAATAATGTATACAGGACGGAACATCTCCCAGCTGCGGCGCGATTGTTGGGCGAGTCGCCAACCGGATTGCAAATGCTCAATTTGAGCTAGATGGCGTCGTCTACCACTTGGACCAGAACAATGGGAACAACACCCTTCATGGTCAGTTACTTTATTTTCCAAAACAGATGTAACACAGGCTCTCTTGTTACGTTTTTTTTTAAGCTGTTTTCTCCTCATCTGGTTACAGCTACATATATCGTCAAATAGAACTGCCCGGTAAACCGTAGGCAGAGAGGGAGAAGAGGACAACAAACGAGGGGCTGTGACAAACTGTTTCGTCGGAGTTTCACCGACTCATCAGGAGGCTGAACCCTCAACAGTCTGTAGAAT